GAGTGAGAGAGAGAGAGAGAGCGAGAAAGCGAGCGAGAGCGATAGAGAGAGACATAGGGGAGACAGAGCGAGACAGGGAGAGAGACAGAGATAGAGAGAGACAGAGAGAGGGGAGAGAGATCGAGAGAGACCTATAAAGCGCGGGAGAGAGAGACAAAGCGAGAGAAATAGAGAGGGCGAGAGACAGGACGAGAGAGAGAGCGAGAGAGATAGAGAGAGAGAGAGAGAGAGAGAGAGAGAGAGAGAGAGAGAGAGTGAGAGGGACAGGGGGTTTCTATGTGTTTGCTAGTGTGTGCGCAGGTCGAGTGGGGCTTTCGTGGGGTCTGTCGGTCTGTCTCGACTCGGCCCCTCAAATATTGAACCCGGGGGGAACCGCGCATATATTTGAGGTCGCCACGAATTTGGAATTGGAATCGACTGGGTCGGGTTGAAACACAGGGCGAGATTTATTGGGGAGCCCAAGAAAATTGGCACCGGAAGCCGGGATGAAGCCGGGCGGATTTTTGACAAATTTCGGGGCTTCTGGCTTTCGGAGACGAAATTGGGAAACTGGAAAAGCTACAGCTACAGCTACGCGACGCTACCATCTACGCAGGGATTCCGTGGCGTAATTGGTTATTCCCCTCCGAAGATGGCCGACTTACGGGTTTTTTTCGGCGCCCAGATTTTTCTTGTTACTATCCCTTTAAAGTTTAAAATATGTAAAGCATCGACTACGCGTCAGTACTCTACGCAACAATTCCATTGCGTAATTGGTTCTTTTTTTGTGGAAATCTTAGCTTTTAATCGCTTTTTCCTTTCCTTAAGCCCTTACTTGAACTTCAGGCGATCTCGGCTACGCAGCAGTCCTATTCACGCTGTGGTTACATTTCGTAATCGGTTAGGCGCTTGAAAAATCAACGCCTTCCGCTTTTTTCCTTTTCCGGAAATTTTGTTAAGCAGGTTTTTATTTACTTGTTGTTAATTATCTTACCCGGTTTTTCTATTTTATTATTTTTTTTACCTTAGGAAATCAGCTACGATACGTACAATTTTACGATGATTACCGCGTGTAGCTTATTGTTGGTAGATTTGGACCTTTCCATCGTTAATTTCCCCCCAATTGACACCCACGCCGCGTTGGCCCGGGCCCAGCCCGATACCGGTTCTCGACCAATACATTGCCAAGCTGTAATTTGCAGCCGCGTGTAGCCCCCCGTGCCATTCGGCTGTCTATTGAATGAATGGCGCGGGCCCCCGCGCCACCAATTCAACGATCAATATTTGAGCGCTTTCTTGGCAGCGCGGCGCGAGTTGCCCCTTCCAAAAGCGCCTCTGCAAGCCTGCCTTTTGTTAAAACCTATACTTTTCTATCCTTTTTTAATGGTTTCAATTTTTTAATTGACTTTGAGATCTAAAAACAATTTTTTTGGTTTTCGAAGTATTTATACCTTTTTGCCCTTTCCTCAAGAATCTCTGCTAGCCTGCCCTTTCCTAAAGAATCTCTGCCAGATAAAAAATAGTTTGTATTTTATTCATTTTGACAAGTAAAACTATTTTCCGATTTTTTGACAATTCCTGCTCTTTTTCGTAATTCCTCAATGATCTCTGCTAGCCTGCCCTTCCGAAAGGTCCTCTGCTAGCTTGCCTCTTGCCAAAAAGTCTGTTTCCTAAGGTTTTCTGGTTTGTATTTCTTCATTTAAAGCTATTTAGGTGGTCCCATTTTTTGGTAATTTCCTAAGGAATCTCTTCTAGCCTGCTGTTTCCTAAATAATCCATGCTAGCCAGCCCATTTCCTAAAGAAGCTCCGCTAGCCTGCCCTGACCTCACCGCAATTCCTGGGCACTTGTTGGCCCGTAGGGCAGAAGTGGCCCCCTCTGTCTGTTTGTCTGTTTGTCCGTCTGTCCCGTCCAGTTATTTGCTAGAGGCCATCAGATTGTGCCAACTGTGCGATGGGGGGTTGTGTGCCTCCCCCTCCCCTAGTCCCATCCCTTCTCCATCTCCTCCTCCTCCTCCTCTACCTGTACCAATTGGTACCCAGGCACCGCGCGAGAGAGACCAACGCGTCCCAAGGTGAGCGCGCCACAACGCGGGCCTGGGTGCTGTTTTTGTTTTTATTTACCTGGGCTGGCTAGCGGAGATTCTTTGGGAAAGGGGGAGGCTAGCAGAGATTCTTTAGGAAAGGGCAGGCTAGCAGAGATTCTTTGGGAAGGGGCGATCTAGCAGCGATTCTTTAGGAAATTCCGCTAAATACTACCCCCCACCAATCTTTCGGCCCTACATAGACCCCGGCCGGCTATCGTGACCTCAAATTTGGTGATCCCAATCTCTCTCTCTCTCTCTCCCTCTCTCTCTCTCCAGCTCGGACTCCTCGACCCGAGCAGCAGATGAGCGATTTTAATCAATCTTTCTCCCCGTTTTGGCCGCCGAGGTCACCTCCTCCCCCAACTCGACGACTAGGCAGACGATGCTCACCACACAGCTGGTGCTCCTTTGCATTTTGGGGGTTAATTATTGGGAGGGGCAGATGCCTCCCATTAATAGCCACCCCCACCTAGTATGCATAATTCCCCCCAACCACTTGCTGCCCCCTAATTTTATCTGCCGAGTTTTACCTCGAGCTATTTTATTAGTGCTCATTTACATTTATCGTAATTATTAACCTTAAAAATTGTAATTTAATTCATTAGATACTTTTAAATATAGATTTTAATTAGCTGACTATTTTCATACGTTTTTAAAGAATTCTAGATATTTTTTAAAGCTTTATGCAATTATTTGGACGATCTGCTGATTTATTTTCTATGGATTTTGGATAGAATGACTTAATGCTACCTTGAAAATGTGGAATTTTATTTTCTATGTCGTTCTACGGGTTTTAAACATTGTTTACGCTCTTAAAATCCCCTGAACTGCTCGAATTTGCTCGATTTTCCGGAGCTGATCGGCTAAATTTTTTGAATTCATCGCATTTGAATTTAATTTTTGTGATGAAAACTAGCTGATCTTGTATGGAATTTTGCGCTGGTTCCGAATATAGCTTTAAATTTGTCTAAATCGTGAAATTTGAAAACTTATGACGTTTTTAAAGTAAAAACTGGTAGATTTTATGCAATTTTTGGTCATAAAAAGGCTTCTAACTTTTTAAATATGAATTTTTACAAAATTCTGATACCAGATTCGGAATCAGCGCCAAATTCTGAACAAGATGTGCTCTTCTCTCTCTCTCGCTCTCTCTCTCTCTCTCCTGTACGTCTCCAACTCGGCGCTGAAAATCCAGGCTTATCCCCCGGCGGCTTTCCCAAGCAATACCATCAAACGGCCGGCAATACGCGCCCAGCGCCCCCGCGCCCGAGCGGCTTTTCCCCCCGCAGCTGCACTTGCAATATCTACATCGGTCTGTCCGTTGGTGTCAATGGGAATGGAACGGGCTTCTCCTCCTGCTCTTGCTCCCCCTCATCCTCATGCTCACATTTTCCCGCGCCATTCCCACGCCCAATTTTGCGCGCGGTGGACAGGCAGGCAGGAGAGGAGAGCGGGAGAGAGAGAGGGGGGGAGAGAGAGAGAGAGAGAGGGGGAGAGAGGGAGAGACCCTGCCTGCCCTTCTTTTGTACCCGGATATCGATTGGGTATTGGCTGGGTTGGGGGCGATCGGCTGGCACCTAGGCCTCGCTTCCTGGGTTTTTTTCAGCTTTTCCAACCTGCCCGAGGTTTTCTAGGAGTTCAGGAGCCCTTGTTTGAGCTAAATATATTTCTATAGAAATTCTCGGGGCTTTCCAAATTTTGGAAGGCAATTTTTGGCACTTTTCCATCCTGAACGAGGTCTTCTAGCCGTTCGGCAGGCCTTCTTTCCGAAAAATAGATTTTCATAAAATTTTCTAGCCCTTTGCTGAGCTTAAAAAAATAGGTTCCTGTAGATTTTTGAGCATTCCGAGGTTTTCTAGACGTTCAGTAGCTCTTCTATTGGCTAAATAATTTTTTGGAGAGGTCTTTTATCGTTTTCGAGCGTTAGAATTCGATTTCCTGCGATTTCAAAGCTTTTGCGAGGTTTTCTAGCCGTTCAGAAGCCCTTGTTTTCGTTAAATAAATTGTTATAGAGATTTTTGGTCCTTTTCCAAATTGTGTAGGTCAATTTTCGCATATTTTTAAGCCTTTTCGGGCTTTTCCAAGACGTTCAGGCTGAACCTGGGCTTCGCATATCCTTCAAAAAGCCATTTTTCGTGTGCCCGATTAATTTAAATGACGGAATTCACCCCGTTGCCAAGATTTATCTCGTTTTTCTGTTTTTTCGATTTGTCAGGATGACTAGCCCTGTTAGTGTAATAATGACTAACTGTAAACCTGCCAAAAGGTTCCCCATTTTTGCCGATGGCGTCCCTTATTGGGTCGTTATCTTTGGCAAACAGGGGCCGGCTCCCTAGCCATCCAATAAAATTATTGATTAGAAAATTATTTTAACTGCCATTATATCATTTTTAATTCCATTTCTAAAGTTTATAGGAATAAAAATAAAATTTATAGATAGTTCCAGTTGCTTTAAAATGCTTAAAAGATATAAAACTTTGATGAAAAATTTTACAATACAATCTTATGGTTATAATTTAATATTAAATCCTTTACAATTGATGATGTACTTTTCTGCCCTCAAAATCTGGCCGTTTGCCAAAAATGTACTTTCCAGTCCCTTTAAAATGTTTAAAAAATGCCAAAAACATTGTAAATGAGATGTTAAAAATTCAGGGCGTTGCGGTCAAAAAGCGGCTTTTTCTAGCTGTTTAAAAATTGTTATTAAGCCTTTTTAACGTTTAAAAATCATCAAAATGAAAATTAATTAAATTCCTCCGAATTATATCGTTAAATTAATTTGAAAATTAATAAAATTAAAATTATCCACCTCCTCTCCTCTCGATTTTTCAATTTTCAAACGTATTAAATTACAATATAGCTTAAAAAATCGTAACTTTGCCTCGAAATTCTTTTTCTTTTTTGACACGTTTTTCGGAAAATGCCTAAAAGACTAAATGTTCGTATTCCAGGCGCTGCAACACTTCAGCGCGGTGATCGAAGCGGCCGTGTCGGGCCAATCGCTGCAGCTGTCGCCCATGGATCGGCATATGCAAATGCAGCACGCTGCCGCCAACGCGTACGCCGCCGCGCAAGCCGTACGATCCGTACTCCCGCAGCAGCTCGGGTTCACGGTAAGCGCGGGTTTTTTGAGGCCTAGACTGAAATTTAATTTGACGTAACGCTCGGCAAATTAAAAACTTTGATTGAATTGAAAGTTTTTATTATTGTATTTCGAATTTAAAATTGAATTTTCGACATTTAATCGATTTGAAAAATGGCAAATTTCTTGAAATTCGACTTTTCAGGGCGGCCCGTCCCCGATCTTCCCGCTGGACTTGCTGCAGACGCCGGCCGCCACGCTGCACCCCGCCAGCCTTTTCGTCCCGCACACCGCCTATCTACTCCCCAGCACACAGGTTTGTAGTTTGGAGCTTGAAATTTTGTAAGAATTCAACAGCAAAAATGTGGATTCGTATTTTTTAACGGTTAAAATTGTAGTTTACAACGTTTGAATACTGATTTAATGATTAAAATAGTTGTTTTTAGTCTTTTGGATGCTTTAGCCTTTTAAATTAGAATTTTTACAGTTTTTATTAAAATCGTTCAGAGGAATTTGCGTAGTTTTTATGTTTTAATGCTAATTTTCTCTTGAAAATTATATTTAGTATTTTAAAGCGTGACTTAACCTTTAAAATAGCATTTTGATACTTTAGCATGATTTAACTTTTTAGATTTGATTCTAGAAACGTAAAAATAAGAATTAATCGTTGGAAATATAGTTTTTTCTACCGAAAAAACGTTGAATCGTTAAAATTGTAGTTTTTAAAGATTTTAAAGAAAAATTAGGCCAAAAATTGCTTGTAGACGCTATAAAAAATGGTGCTGGTTTTTGGTGTTTTAAAAACGATATTAATAGGCATAAAATAACCCTTCATTTATAGTGGCCTTTTCAGTCGCTAGCCTGCCAATGTATGTACAGCAACGGGACACAACCATGCACGATACACCACGCGCCGATCACCTACGGACAGGCGACGTTTCCGGTACGTTCAGCAGCTCCAGCTCTCTCTCGCTGACTCTCTTCTGTCTCTGTCTCTCTCTCTCGCTCTCTCTCTCTCGCTTACTCTCTTCTGTCTATGTCTCTCGCTCTCTCTCGCCCTCACTCACTCTGTCTCTCTCGCTCTCCCTCTCACTCCCTCTGTCTCTATCGCTTTCTCTGTCTCTCTCTCTCTCGCTTGAAATATCTATATTTATTGATCTTTTTCAGGCTTTCCAAGCGGTCCCCCCGGCCTCCCCGGCGACGTTGCACAGCCCGCCGGTGAACACGCAGCCCGCCGTCCAACAAGTCACCCACCCCGTCGCCCAGAACCCGCCCGCCCAACAGCAGATTGTTCAGCAACACCAGCAGGTAGATGACCTCCAGAAATCCAGAATCCAATTTTTATTCCAGCCCCACCCCTCCAACAGCCAGCAAACAATCCAGAATACGCCCAGCCACGCCCCCGTGATATCGGTAAGCCCTTGGTCATCTACAGCAACGAGATTTTGACCTTGCAGTTACCTCCCGGACCCGTTGCCCCAGCCCTCCCCCCGACCATGCCCCACTCGATGCGCTCGCTGACGATGCGCTTGAAACGGACGGCCCCTCAGCATAGCCAGATCGCGAGGTTGTCGTCGAAGGTACGTTATTGTTTTTTAATTAATGATTTATGTTTATTACTAATCAGATCTAATTTATTTAATTAAACAAATTTTAACTGGAAAATCATCAAAACCTGTTTTTCACCGAAAATTGTTGAAAACTAAACCATTTTGGGTATTTTTTTAGGCTTTATTTGAGGGCTTTAAATTTTAATTACTTAGACTTTGAATAAAAATACTGCAAAACAATTTTAATAACCGTTTTTTAGCTTTTTTACACTAAGAATAGTTGAATTTTGTTACTGACTTTATAAAAAATGTATTTTGTTTTTAAATTATCTAAAGTTATGATAAATAAGGGAATTAAGCTGTTTTTGATAACATGAAAAAACTTATTTATTTTTAATATTGCAGGTACGGCGGGTTGAAGGCCGGCCGTCCACCGACGCCGAGCTGTCCCCCTCGGAGCCGCCGTCAACTTCGCAATTGACACGACCACAATCACTCGGATTGGGACAGGTTTGTCCTAAAAGAATCTCTGCTAGCCTACCCGTGCATAAAGAATCACTGCTGGATTGCTCTATACGAAAACCCCAAAAACCACCCGAATTTCAGTTGTGCACCAACTGCCAAGACGGCACGCGCAGCTCGACGTGCTTGAGCTGTGTCCCCTGCCACCACTGCGTCGTCTGCCAACATCACCAAGCCGCTTCGGCCAGCGCCTCCGCCCAGCCCCAACAAAGCTTGGCGGTTCCTCAGCTCTCCGCGACGATGAGCGCGCAAGCGCACAGTCTGCTGTCCGCGCTGCAGGCGGCGCCGCCCGCGCAACAGTCGTCGAGTCCGGTGGGGATCAGCCAGGCGTCGAGGGAGGCGAGCACACTTCAGCAGCAGGTTGGTTGAAAAACACTGAAGTATCTCTCTATCGCTCTCTAACTCTCTCTCTCTCTCATTCTCCCGCTCTCTCTCTATCTATCTCTCTTCTCTCCTCACGTTTTTCCGGTTCCCGGCACTCTGAAAATCCTCCTCAAAAATCTCTGCTAGCCTGCCAGACGCCTTTTTCAGTAAATAGTAAAATCCCTACACCGATGAAGCCGAAAACTATCTACAAATCGAAGAAACAACTCCGAAAAATAGCCCCCAAAATTAACACCAAACTTGGGTAACTGAACCGGCCATGACTGTCACTTTGCCAATTTCCCACTCGCCCCCCATCTGGCCCACTGTCTGGGCATAAGGGTCGACCCCTCCCACCCCAATTTGTCAGTCGGTTCACGCCTCGTTCCGTCTGACCCGGCGGCCCCGTACAGCCAACAATTTTCATGGGTTCACGGCACCCATTCAAAAATGCCGTTTCAAGCGTTGCACTTGTCAAGGAAAAGCTTCGGCTGCTCCTGAACTGCTTGAAAAGCTTCAGATGCGTCTGAACGGCTCGAAAGGCTTCAGATTCGTCTGAACTGCTTGAAAAGCCTCAGATGCGTCTGAACGGCTGGGCGTTGCCCAAATTTTTGATTTTGGGAGAGGCAGGCCATTAATGCGCCTAAACGCAGCCTGGCTGAAACTCTCGCCAAAAAAGGCGGATTTTGCAATTTTCGAGGTGCGGCTTCCGGGCCGAGGAAATCATTCGATTTGTATCTAAACTCACCTTGCTGCCGTCGGTGTGCTTTGCATGCTCCCTGATCACCGCCGACTAGACCCGCGTCTGGACCACGGTGAAACTATATCTCGGAAAAAAACGCAGGGTTGGTGGTCGGGGAGGATGGAGGACTTAGTATTCCATTATTTTGAGATACTTTTACGATATGATAGAAGATACTTCTTACTACTTTCTTTTCAGAAAGTATTTGTGATTCAGTAGATGATAACTTCGCCTTGACGAAGTCGAGGAGAAGCCCGACCACTTTGAAAAATTCAAAGTCCCGGACCTCCAAAAAATTCGAGAATTCATATATTTTATTACAAAGTAGTCCGAGGAACTACGATGTAAAAAATATTATTCAAAGACTGAAAAAACTTGGCACCCTTCCAAAAGGAAGAGCCCAAGAATTTCCGCTTTTTTGGAGCCAATCACCGAGCATCAGCCCGGGTTGGTCCAAATTTTTGCGCGCTACCCCGGAGAGTAGCGGCAAAATGGCTGTGACGCGGCCAAGCGGTGGATTGAACCGAAAAGACGAAAACGGGTCCAGCCTTATGTTCTTGAAGTGGGCCAGATGGGGGGCGAGTCGGGCGGGGGCCGGGGACGAGCGGCGGCACCCCGGTTCAATTACCCAAGTTTGGTGTTAGTTTTGGGGGCTCTTTTCCGGGTTGTTTCTTCGATTTCTAGCTTGGTTTCCGCTTCATCGGTGTACGGCTTCATCAGCTTCACGTCAAAAATTCTTCTCGTGTTTCGCCGCGTCGATTTTCACTAAATTTTTAGAGGTTTTTTAATAGAAAAACCATGGCTTAAATCGTTATATTTTAATTCCACGTCAACAAATCGATTTTCCCGATGATTTATTGTATATATTTTAATAGGCTAGATATAGCATGAATTTTTTAATCACTGAAATTCACAAAAAAATAATTTAAGCTACAAATAAAGATTTTTTAGCGTATTTTAATAAGGCAAAAGGTATCTAAAACGTAGTAATATTTTTCGTTAATTTTGAAAAGCTATTTATGGCTTAAAATAACTTAAATTGACGAAAATGTATTAAAAAATTGATTTTATCTATTTTTTCAAGGTATTTTTAACGTATTTTAATGAGCAACAGGTAGCTAAAACGTAGTAAAATCATTTTTATCCAACACTCTAGTATCTAAAATTATTTTACTTCATTTTTCATAATCTGAAGAGCTGAAGATCAACAATTTAAAACCTAAAAAAGACTTAAATCGACGAAAATGTACCAAAAAAATCGATTTATTGTATATATTTTAATAGGCTAGATATAGCCCGAATTTTTTAATCGCCAAAATTTAGGAAAAAATGAATTTAACCTACAATTAATGATATTTTTAGCGTATTTTAATAAGGTAAAAGGTATCTAAAATGTAGTAATATTTTTAGTTAATTTTGAAAAGCTATTTATGGCTTAAAATTAAAATACCTTAGGTCGACGAAAATGTATTAAAAAATTGATTTTATCTATTTTTTCAAGATATTTTTAACGTATTTTAATAAGCAAAAGGCATCTAAAACGTAGTAAAATTATTTTTATCTAAAACTAGTATCTAAACATTATTTTATTTAATTTCTCACAATCTTAAGGGCCGAAGATGAACAATTTAAAAATTAAAAAAGACTTAAATCGACGAAAATGTACCAAAAAAAATCGATTTTCGCTATTTTTTCTTCAGGTATTTTCAACGTATTTTAATTAGCAAAAAGGTATCAAAAACGGCTGACCATTTTTCTAACCCCGTTCTCCAGTTTCAGACGCAACAAATCGCGGCGCTGGCCGCGCAACAGGACCTCATCCAGACGATCTCACGCGAGCGGATGAACGCGGCGATCTGGTCGCGTCAACTGCAGGCATACGACACGACCAACACGGCCGCCTTCAATCAACGCCTCGCCGCCCCCTATACCCTGTCACAATTGTCGTTGACCGGACACCCTGGACATCTTCTCGTCGTCCCCCGGGCCGGCACGATTCCGGTGAGTTCAAAATTTCGTCAAGAATCGCGGATCTTGTGCATTAGCGGGGTGCGGGATGTCAGGCGGGAACCAAAATTTTTGGATCGAGAAAATTTCGTCAAGTCCAATTTCCTTAAGAATCCCGGAGCTTTTGCATTAGCGGGGGGGGGGGGGTATCAGGGAACCCCAACTTTTATAGTTTGAAAAATCCTGGTACTCCCAAATCCCGGTACTTTTGCGTTATCGAGGGGGACCCGGGGAGAACCAACTTTGTTGTACCAAAAAAAGTTCGTTGAGTCGAATCCCCTAAAGCAGCCCGGATCTTTTGCCTTATCGGGGGGGGGGGGGACTTTTAGCATAAAAGTTTTCTAAAACAAATAGAGCCAGTTTTCTACGCTGTTTTTCCACATTTCTAACCCACAAACTTTACAAATTTCCCTAAAAAATAGCTTTTCCGACCAAAATTTGAAATTTTAAACTTTTATTTCAAGTTTTAGATAGTTTCTGCCTTTGAAATATGGTGATATTTTACTAAAAAACTATTAAAATAACTACTATTACACTACCGGGCGTTTCTGAACTTTTACCGGAAAAATCCCCCCCCCCCATAACGCCAAAGCACCAAATTCCCCAAAGTTCTCTGCTCGCTGCCCAGCTAAAAAACTAAAGCTCAAGAGGTCAAAAGATAACTAAAAGCACGGGAAAGCGATGCTGCTGAATTTTTCGGCTTTCGCGAGACGCAACGCGCACGCACCGCGCGACAAACTAAACTAGAATCAGCCGAATCGATTACGCGATGAAAATACGATAGCTAAAATCCATAAGGGAAAATAACTCTACCTTACCAGTCCCTTTAACCGTCAAATTTTCAGATCCAAAACGCCCGCCTGGACCTGGTGTTCACCACCCTTCCATCCGAAGTGATGTACGAGCGGCCGACGATGGAGCGTCAACACGCGACGGCCGTCTTTGGAGGGCAACCCGTCGCTGAGCCTCAGCCCATTGGAGCATCACTCGACGACATCGAGAAGAACACCCAGCGCAGCGAGTTCGTCAAGGATCTCGAGGTGGGGACCGGCTAAAATTAGAAAAATAAGATTTTGAGACGCAAAAATTCAGAAAAAATGGAACATAGAGCATTGGATAAATCAACTTTTATAAACCAATCAGCTATATGGATAAAGCGGAAATTCAATTTTATTGAAATAAAGCCGAAAAAAAGGATAAATTAATTAATAGCAATTTCGACCAATTTCACCTAAATATTTTAAAATTAAAATTAACAAAAAGTTAAATAATTTTTACCTATAATTTTGCAGATCCCCGAAAATGAGAAAGAGCGGTGTACGGTGTGCCTGATGGATTTCGAGTCTGGCGACGGTGTGCGCACCCTCCGATGTGAACACCTTTTCCACGTCGACTGCATCGACAAGTGGGTTTTGGGTCGACTAGCAGAAACCATTGAAGAAATAATCAAAATTTCTACGCAAATAACAATTGACAAGTCAAGAACTAGCAGAAACTATTAGGGAATAAGCATAAAACTATGAAATCAACCTTAAGCTCGTCCTTAAATCTACAAAATTGTTTTTAAAGCTAAAAAACCAAGTTTTAGCTCTAGGCAAACAACAGGGACAATTGGCTTAGGTTTACAACGTTAGAACTGCCACAAAAAACACTTGGGAATTTAACCTAACACTGGATCTAAAGGTTAAAACCTTAACGCGACCATTTTCTGCACTTCGCAGCTAGCAGAAACCATTTGAGAATCTATCCTAAAACTCCAGAAAAGTGAAATTTACTCTGAAAATCACGAACTACAAGTTTGCCGATCTTACAACTAGCAGAAACGCTTTCGGAATTTTACCTAAAACTTAATAACTAAAAGCTAAAAACAACGAACTGGATTTTTCCGGATTTGGGGAGCTAGCAGAAACCATTTGGGGAATTGCGTGGCTAGAAACGGCCAGAAACAAATTCTGTAAACCTGAAAATTAGCGTTAAAACTAAAATAAAACAATTTTCGGAGCTTTCGGACTGGCAGAAATCATTTGGGAGTTTTGCCTAAACCTGAAACTAAACGTTAAAAACTACAAACCGCATTTTTTGGGGATTGGGCAGCTAGCAGAAAAGATTTTGGGGGAATTTTCGGGTAGAAACGGCTAGAAAGAAAAGCTCTAAACCCGAAAAATTAGGGCTAAATCTCAACAAAAACAATTTTCGGGCTTTCCAGCTAGCAGAAACCATTTTGGAATAGATTCTAAACCCGTAAATTAGGCCGGAAAATACAAACTACAACCCAAAAAGACTAAAAACCAAAAAATTGGGCTAGAAAAATAGAAAACATTTCCACATTGCCGCTACAAACTACAAAAACCCAAAAAATTTGCAGATGGCTGGTCTACAACAAGAAATGCCCGGTGTGCCGCGTCGAGGTGGACTGCCCGAAGGCGGCGCTGCTCGTCGAGTAGATGGTTCATCTCCCTCCTCACTTCCGCTTCAGTGTGCTGATCACCCCCCAACCAATTTCTGTGATAACCACGATCCGAAGAAATAGGCTTTTCAATTGTTTCCGGAATTCCCCGATTTTTTTTCCAATTTTTTTCACAATATTTCTAATTGCGCACCATATTCCTCTCACCGTCACCCCCGTATATTCTATACGTGCCCTAGATGCTTTCACTCGGCTTTTCCCCCCTCTTTCTACACGACGCCCCGGTTACGCGCTTGCTAAACAAATAATATAAATTAGGAAAATATATACGAAATAGAGGACTGGTGAAGCCGGCTTCGTTTTTTGGGCTTTGTTTGCTTGGCATTTTCAGTGGACGCGACGCACGGCATCCCACGAAGATGCGCCCTAAAATTTCACTTTCGGCTTCGCCAGTCCATATATAACAAAAAATCTATTAAAACGAAAAATCCCCCAATTATTCGTGCCTCCAGGGTCTCGCCCCCCAATTGCTTAGATACTCAACGCGCACCACCGACCCCTAACAAGTTTTTATTTAGATTGCTGTTACTCCTCTTTGCTGAACTGTTAGCAGGGGGAAAACTCATTTTTTCCAGTAATCCAGTCCGATCCTGATTTTTGTGCACCTTTCTAGCAATCAAAAACTACCAAAAACGTTATAAAAATACACTATTTATTATTAGCAGGTAGGCCAGGCAGAAAAAAAAAATTAGTTTCCCCCCATGTTAACAGTCCAGTACCGTTTCCTCCTCCAATTTTCTCTGGTCCGCCTTTTGTGATTTGATGTGTGTGCGTTTTTAGTGTTCCCAGGGCCGGAAGCTGCGGTTTTTGAAAGGGTTTTTAAGCTTGATAAGCTACACTCGTGTGACAAGCGTCACTTTTTTTCCGCTAAAAGCGCAAAGTATCGAAACGTAGTTTAAGCGAGCTTCATCTCGCTCATCTTAACAACGGCCACTTAATTTTTTAAACAAAACACACGTAAACGCTTTTAACGTAGCGTAACGTACAGTAAAACTAACACAATTTTCCACGCTAAACCCCTCAAAACCAAAACCCAAGCTTCCGGCCCCCCCGCCCTGATAAACTAGACCATTTTTCCAATTTGGGGCTTTTTGGCTTTGGGAGGGCTTTAAAAAAAGCTCAATTTAATAATTTAGAAGCCTAAGCCAAAAGCTAAGCCAAGCCAGCTTGAAAAGCTTCTCCCAAAGCCACTGCTAGCCCCGTTCCTCAACGGGTCCCCCGGTCCCAGTCATGCGACTTGGCTTCGAAAACTTCTAATAATTTTAGCTCCCAATTTTGCATTGTCAATTTTCGCTTAGAAATAATTTTTTCATTCACCAAAAATAGCCCCGAAAAACACTATCCGCTTTGCTTGTTTTCCCCCCTATCAAATTTTGTGTGTGTGAATGGCTCACTTTTCCGAAAAATTTCTTCTCGTTGCGCTGCTCTTAAATACCTATCAGAATTGGTGTCGAAAGGATTGTCGGGGTTTCCGGGGTGCAGCTGAACAACGTCAAGTTCGGCGAGTTCAAGCTCAGTTTCACTAGTTCCAGCTCAAAAAAACGTCAAAATCGGCGAGTTCAGGCTCAGTTTTACGAGCCCTAGCTAAAAAAAAAAAACAGGTCAAATTCGGCGAGTTCGGCCTCAGTTTGACGAGCCTAAGCTAAAAAAAGCGTCAAATTTGACGAGTTCAGGCTCAACTTTCGAGGTTTAGCTAAAGAACGTCAAGTTCGACGAGTTTAAGGTCACAATTTGGCACTGCAGCTAAACCACGTCAAATTCAACGAGTTCAAGCCCATTTTTCGAGCTCCAGCTAAACCACGTCAAGTCCAAGACGTCCAGCTAAAAACCGAAAATCCCGACACCTTTCGACAGCCAATGCCAATTGATAAATGTGCACAGAGATGAATAAAGTTGTCGCTGCTAATTTTTGGCAGTATAAATGCATACAAACAAGCTGATTTTCAACTTTACTTCGCTATCAAAAAACCCGGGCGAAAACAGCAACAAAAAAGAGTAACAACATATTCAACATACAAAAAAAATTTGGTCATCACCGGCAAAAAAGGGGGGGGGGGCTAGGGGATGCACCAGGATAAAACAACAAAATTACCGTAGAAATCAATGATTCGCGCGATCCTGCTTGAATTTGGAGACGCGTTTTGGAGGAGTGCGGCTTGGGGGCTGGGAGGAAGAGCCGCTTGTACCGGAAGTGGATGGCCCGCCGTGCTCGAAAATCTGGAAAATCGAGTTATATAGATTTTCTATCAGATTTATCTATTGCTATCAATTTCGGATCTTTCGCATTATCGGGGGGGGGGGGGGTTTTGCCATAGGCCCAGAAATTCGTAGCTACTTCATAGTATATTTTAATAGCGTTTTTCGGCAAAAAAACCTATCGTAAACTATATTTTAAGCGGAAACCCATTTTAAAACGTTACAAGGTTTCAAAAAAATTCGACATTTTGGTCAAAAACGGCCATTTTTGTCCAAAATTATTTTTTAAGTCCAGAAATGCCTAGCAACGCAATAGTAGGATTTCCCACGGTTTTTTGAAAAAATATAACTATATTTGAAGTGGAGAAACCATGTAAAAAGTCGCAAAAAATCTTTCATTGAAATGTTGGTCGAAAAACCTACATTTTTGCATTTTTTAACTACAATTTGTAAAGTTTTTACGTTTGGGAAGAGTAAACAAATATTTTAGAAACACTCCAGCTATTTATATTTGAAAAATCGATCCCAAGAAAAAGGTCGCCCCCCGATATTGCCAAAGAACCAAACACATGCTAGGCCAGGGTAGCCTTGACCGTAATTAAATTATCTGTTCAAAGAGCGGGAAATGGGCTTGATGGACGCAAATTAACAAAAAAAATAATGATTTAACTTGTATACCTCTCCCGGAAAAGCTGTTCTCGACGACGGGAGCACGGTGGCTTGCTTCGAGGCTTCCCGCTCCAGCTCGCCGACCTTGGAACGATCGACGGGCGTCGGCGACTTGTTCTTCAGAATCGACTTGACCTCGGCTTCATCAACCTAAAGCTATAATTACTAGCAATAAAGCATTAAAAATACCTCTACCACCGGCCTACTCGGCCCCGCTTCCAGCCTTCTCGGGAAATGGACGCCTCGCGGTTTTCCTAAAAAAATCATCATTTTGATGCTTGTTTCGCGTCACCTTTATGTTTCGATGAAGCAGCCTGCTCTTGCTCCTCCTCCTCCACTTCCGGCACATCGTCCGAGTCGTAACTAAAGTAGGTTTCATACAAAAAGATTGTTAAAGCGTACGCTTCTTCCTCATCGCCCTCCTCGCTTTCATCGTCCTCGTCGTCGGAAGTTTCCATCAAAGCGTCGACACGAGCCAGCAGCTCGCGGTAGGCCTGGAAAAAGTGTTTTTCTTTAAGGTTTGTCGGGGTTACTGTTTACTGTTTTTTTACTATTCCTAAACCTAAACTTTACAAATTTACAAAATGTATTAAAAACACAAAAATATCGATTTTTCGACCCAAAATGGCCGCTTTCGAACAAATTTTCTATTCTTTCGGTCCTGCTCCACTTAAAGAGTTAAATTTTACTAAAGATACTTTTGAAACAGTTACTATTACGTTACTAAGCATTTCTGGACTTATAGAAAAACAGCTGGTCCCCCCCCCCGATAAGGCAAAAGAACCCTTTCTTTCCGAGCTACGTTATAGCATATTACGACGCTTCTAGCGCAAAAAATAGTTTCTAAAAAATTCAAAACGTGAAAAGAATCAAAAGTCAATATTTTGTCACGACGGCCGGAGCTAATTTTGCGCCGCCATTCCGGAAATAACCACCTTCGGATCGACGCCCGCCGGCGGCACGCATTCCGCTTCCGGCTCTTCTTCTTCTGAAGACGTGCTGGCTTTTCGCGCCTTCTCTGGATTCTCGGACTCCTTGGGCTTCTCGGGCCCCCGCCCAACCGCTTCCGCCTTTTCCGCCTTTTCCAGCTCCTCGAGACGGGCGATACAGGCCTGAAAAAAATCCTCAAAAATCATCATTAAGCCCACATCATGCTCCCGTTGGCTCTCATCCTTGCTCTTCACTGCCGGCTTGGTCGGCTGGCGAGCTTTCCGCTCTGAAAAACAAAGTAATCGAAACCAACTAAATTTACTTTCTCTAAAAGCCCGCTCGGCCTCTTCGTCGTACTCCTCGCGGATCTCGATCTCGTCCTGGCGAGCGGCGCACTAGGAAAAAAACGGAAATATAGATTTTGAAAAATAGCGCTACCTCGTCGTAGAGCTTGCCAAGTAGTTCAATTTGCTTTTCCGTCACTTGGCATTCGCTTTCGAGCCCTTTCACCGAGTCTCGGACAACTAAAAATAGAATTTTTTTATCGCTAACTGCTATTTAAATTAAAATATGAAAATCTGCACTTCTAAAAAATTACAAATAAAAGCCGTCACAAAACCGCGAAAAACTAAAATTTCTCATTTATCAAATTTTCTAAAATAATTTTTCCAGGAAGCAACTCTTTTTAACATTAATAGAGGAACCATTTAGAAAATACGAAAAAAATTTTCGCCTGCCAAATGCATGCAAAATTCCAAATTTTCCTAATTTTTGAAAGTTTTCAGACTAATACGCTATTAGGTTAAAGTTACCATTAACTCGTCGCCGCAAAATCTCGGCCGTCTGATGCGCCGACCGTTCAGCGAACATATTCTCGCCGAGCAGCACGTACAGCTCATTCGTGTGCACCAACCGCCCGGGTATGTAGCCGACAGATCCGCAAGGCATCTAAATACACAAAAACATCGAGATTTCGAGGTCTACAAACCATAAATTCCTGCGTCAACTTCTTCGGCATGTCCTCCACCTTTTTGGCCAGCTGCTCGTACTCCTCGGCCTCCTTCTTCTTCAGCTCGATGTGCGACTTGCAGGCTTGTAACTTCTAGGAGACGACGTCAAGCGTTAAAATTGCAAACAAACCATTTCCATGCCAGCCTTCAGTCGAGCAGCGTTGTCGCGAGTTGTCGACGCCATCTAGGAGAAGCTGATCAACGAGTTGCGCCAGGCACGAGGGAAGAATCAGAATAAAAGCATAAAGAATTCATGAATCGCGTTAGAGCCTTGAAACTTTTTTAAACGCTTTTAAAAGTCTTGCAAAGTCGATTTCCGTTTATTTTTCCGCGACGGCGACGTTCAAAATGTTATTGCGCCTTGTTGAAGATGATGATAAAGCTCATGCGCCGTATTTCAGCTGACAGCGCGTTGGAGCTGTTCAACTACAAGGTTTTTTAAAAGCTATGCTTGTAATGCGTTTTCGCGGTCAAGAAAAACGTTGAAAATAGCTCAATTTAAAGCTCAATACTCAACATTATCGATCAAATCGAGCAAAAAACCGTCCAAAAGTCCGCTTTCTTGTTGAAGGTTCAGAGATACGCCTAGCCGCCATATAACTGCTCGCGTTCTCCTCAAAAAGGCAAGCAAAAAATTTATTATATCATCAAAAACGTCAGATCATCGGCAACAATCAAAGCATCAATGTGAAAACGTTCAGATTGTAAAGCTTGGCAGCGTAGCGGAGGTGTTGATCAGCTGGCCTGCATGCGCTGCGTGGTCAGCCGACGCTGCTTGACGGCAAAGTTGTGCACGTGGGCCATGTTCACCTGGAAAAACGGATTAATATCACACAAAAAATAATGCTATAATACCCTCTAAAAAGTCTCAAAAAATACCTCCGAAGTGGTAATCTGATCCTTGACAAAGGCCAGCTCGGCGCAGAGGTCTTTTAGTTGCTAAAAAAATCAAGATACTTCAAAAAGGTGAAAATTACAGCCTCGAGTTTCGCTCGGTTCTTGAGGATGAGGTCCTTCGCCTTGTCCAGCTCGTACTCCACCATGATGTTGGCGCCGATCCAGATGCAAACCTGAAAGAGAAAATAGGTCTTATAAAACCCAGAAATTTACCGTTTTCGGCTCGGGCACTCGGGCCCTCGTCCACAACTCCTCGGCAATCATCGGGCTCGTCTCGAAGGCTTCTCCCTTCTCCTGAAGAAAAAAATGGTCTTAGGTCAGAAAAAAGGCTTTACTTTTTCTAAAAAAATGCGCCAAAAGATGGTTTAGAAAGTCTAAGCCTATATTAAAGTTAAGTTAAACCTAGGCGTGAGCCTAGTTAAGGCAAGTCTACGCCAAGCTAAGCTTAGCTTAACCCAATTTCCGCTTAGATTTAAGCTACGCTTTAAATAGCCTCTCACATATGCTTCTAGAAGAAACTAAAATCAAACTCTACGTTCGTTTTAGGCTGCTACAAGATTCTGCGTATGACTACGCAAGCACGTACGTAAGTTAAGCTTTATTAAAGCTAAGCACGGTTTTCAATCTAGGAGCTTTACTTTACTCAAGTGACTTCAGCGGAGCTTGTCGTCACCACTTCCGGTCAAGCAAACGCACCCGCTTCTCGATCAGCGTCTCGATCAGCTTGAGGCTGTTGCTGAACTCGGGGATCTTCTCCAGCATCCGATCGCGCTGCTGCGTCAGGCCGCCCTCGATCATTTTATATTTTCTAAACAAAAAACTGAACACCAACACGCAAAAAATTACCTATATTGCTCATTCAGGCGTTCCCGGCCCTCTTCGCCGGAGATTTCGCCCTCATTTTTCAGCCATTGCCCGACGTCTTCCTGCAAAATGAAAGATATAAATCAGTTTTTATCACCTTCATCGTGCCACAGAAAAGTTTGAAAATCGAAACTTACGACGACTTGCATCAACGGAATCCCTCGCTTCGATTCGGTGACATCGTCGACGGGGGCGAATTCCATTTCCTGGAAAATGAGATATAATTGAGAACGAGGAAGAGAGAGAAAGAGAGAGGGAGAGCTAGAGAGACAGAGAGAGATAGAGATAAAGAGTGAGAGAGGGCCCGCGCGCGAGTGTGAGAAAGAGACAGTGCGCGAGCATAAATGCTAGTGCGAGGTAGAGGTCGGAACGTCAGAAAGACATTCATAGCGAGAGAGAGAGAGAGATCGAGATCGAGAGAGATCGAGAGAGGGGTGAATGCTAGCGAGAGAAACAAGGAGGGCTAGAAAGACACTAATAGCTAGATAGTGCGTGACAGAGCGAGAGACACGGATACAGCAATTACAGAGAGAGAGCATGAAGGATAGTGAGAGATAGAAGTGAGAACGCTAGAAAAACACTAATAGCGAGAGAGCGAGAGTGATATGGTAAATAATAGAGAAAGTTAAAGAAAATAATAATAATATCAATCGAAAAAGAAATCAATACAGGAAGATAAAGCCATTCAGTACTCTTCAAGGTAATTTTATCGAAATACGAAAAACCAACTTGACAAAAGCTCAAAAAATCTTTTTATTACCATCCGAATCAAACAACCGAGGGTAAACGAGATGCACCAAAAAATGACAAAATCGGAGACCAGGATATCGTAATGACAAGCCACGAGAGAACACTAGAGATTCTGAAAGGAGGAGGCGGATACCGGTGAGCCATTGAGAAGATGACAATTCTGAAGGGAAGACAAGGCAAATTTTCAAGCGGAAACAATAAACTGATCTTCATCCTTTGTTGTGCGTGTTGCCCCAGCCGCGTCGATGCGTGTCCTTGTACTCGTCCCAGTTCATCTGCCGGGCTCGCACCTCGTCCGGGTCGACGGCGTCCTGCATCTCGGGGTCGTCGAGGTCGGCGTGGGCTTTTGCGGCGGCTTCAGCGGCTGGGTCGGGCCTAAAAAAATCGAGTTTTACCTATTGGCCCAAAAATCCCCCTGGTAAGCCTGTTTTTTAATAAAATTAACTTTATTCGTAGTTCAAAAACATTTTTTCAAAGATGTCAGGGATCCGGCGGAGAAAGCACCAAAATATTACATCTTCGTCAAGGGAGTAGCTTCCAAGCATCGAAACAAGAATAAAAACCAACTTTGAATTTCCCCAACTGCCGCCCTTCATCATCCCCTCGGCCCATTCGTCAACGGTCAGCGTGGGCACCGACGGGTAGCCGAGTCCGAACACGCGCTTCTGCTCTCGATTCCGGGCGATGATGAACGGCTTGAGCTTGGTGGGCGGCGGCTTGGGCTCGTCGGTGGTGATGCCGGCCGCTGCTCTCTCAGCCATCATTCGGGCCATCGGGAGTTCTTCTTCGATGGAATCGAGCTCGTCGAGGGCCTTCATCGCCCAGTGGCGCAGCTGGATCATGTACAGTTCACTGAAAAGTATTAATTAAAAGGACGCCACAAGATATAACGAATACAGAAATGGTTCTTTGGCATTATCGGGGGGAGGGGGCGGGCATTTTTCTTAGGAACGAATTTTGCATCTAAAAATACAAAAAATATAGATTTTTCGATCAGAAATGACCGATTTTCGACCAAACTGAAAACTAAAAATTTTCCTAGGTCTTGTTTTCATTTTTAGGCACCGCTGGCGCTAATAGGAAAAAAAATTTATACCCCCCGATAATGCGAAAAAACACCAAAATCCCTACCGTAGCGCTTCATCGTCCTCCGGGTTGATCGTCCGGTTTCTTTCGGCCGTTGCCAGCGCTTCCTTCAAGCTCTTCTCGTAGCTGTAGCGGCGTTGCTTCTCCTTGCGCAGATCCTCACCTGAAAAATTGGAGTTTATAATTTTCTATAAACAATTTCTTGAAAATTTAATTAAATAAGTAGCTAATTTATATAATTTAAAATATATGAAATACTAAAATTCTAATAACGAGCTTCCCGCAAAATTCGGAATCACCAATAAACTACCCAAAAAATTACCAAAAAAACACGACTTCGCATAAAACATCAATTACCAGACAACCACTTTGAACCCGGGGATTTTGGCACTCAACATCACTCGATTAACACACGTTCCCTCGTATATAAAGAGCCCCCTGGAAGGCACAAGTACCCAACAAACTTCAACAACAAGAAGAAGAAGATGGCCCAATCCGTCGCTCCCGGTGACATTATCACGCAGCCCGGCACGAAGATCGTGTTCAACGCCCCGTACGATGACAAGCACACCTACCACATCAAGGTGATCAACTCTGGAGGACGTCGCATCGGATGGGCCTTCAAGACCACCAACATGAAGCGACTTGGTGTTGACCCGGCCTGCGGTGTCCTCGACCCCAAGGAGCAGGTTCTGGTGGGTGCTTTGAACTGTTTGAACAGCACGATTTTGATCGAAATCTACTATTTTATGATTTTCGCTTCTCAAAACAACTTGAACTGCTCGAACTTGATGCCTTCTGGATCTACCGCTCCTTTTCCAGGTGGCTGTCTCGTGCGACTCGTTCCAGTTCGGCGCTGAGGACACGAACAACGACCGTGTGACGATTGAGTGGACGAACACCCCCGACGGTGCCGCCAAGCAGTTCCGCCGCGAGTGGTTCCAGGGAGACGGCATGGTCCGCCGCAAGAACCTCCCCATCGAGTACAACCCCTGATTGGATCACTTCACCTATTTCCCCATCCGGCTTTGAATAAATGGCTTTTCTGAATTGCTTACTACACCATTTCCACTGCAACTACATCGAAGATTTCTTCTACCCACAAAACTAGGCGTGCAAACCGCTGCGCGGTTTTTCAGCTCCGCCCCCCTTCTAGGGCCGATGGTAGTCCACACTTTGCCTAATTCGTTCCAAATAGCGTTGACAAAAAGCAAACGACCTCCCTACGGGGCTTCTATAGGCGATAATCACTTCCGGTCTCTGCTAATCGATACCTAACTAAGATATAAAGACGATTGTCACGAAAAAATCATTTAAAACGGCAGAGGTACAATAACTTCCGGTCCAATCTAGGCTTCTCCTAATTAAAAGCCCAAGACCTTCGCGAAAAGTTTGATTTTTAACCTTTTAGAAACTCCAAGAATTTAATTTCTAGTCTGCTTTTTTGTCTCTAAAAACAGCGCAAAAATTTACCGGTCGCCCGAAAGATCTTCACATCCGCCCGTGACACCTCGTCGTCTTCTTCAATGGCCCAGGGCAGCTTGAAGTTGATGACCTCGTACGATTGGAGCCGCTCGAGAAAGGCCATCAACAGCGTCTTGGCCGCCTTCAGCTCGTCGGGCCTGGTGGCCGCGTTGAAGGGCGTATTCTAGACGGGCTGTTCTCGAAGTAAAAAAAAATTGATACCTGAACGGCAATCGCGTAATAGCAGCCGACCAGCAGCAAGCGGACGGACTCTGGGGGCAGCTCTTCGACGAATTCGTTGTCGGCGAAAAGCCCGGCGGTGCTGATGTCCTTTTGGAGTCGTTCGAGCTGGGCGCAGAGGTCGGGCACCGCTTTCTTTTTCTGCTCCATGTCGAGGCGGCCCTCGGTGAGGTCGATCACTGTCTAAAAGGACTAATTTAGAATCGGAAACGATAAAAACGGCGAATGCAGAGCGGAAAAAGAAGGTGAAATGACCACCAACCTTCTCGCATCGCTCAAAAACGTTGCGAATCGTTTCCTCTTTATCTTCTGAAGTTGAAGCCATTTTCGGGGCTAAAAATGAATTATTTAAAGACCACCATTCAACTAAAGCGCCTGAAAAATATACGAAAACAATTAAAATTAGTAAAACTAGCATCAGAAAGCTAAATTTTAGTGCAAAATTAGCAATATAAGGTCCCTGAATTAATTTAATCGCCTTGAAAATAATTAAAATCAAAAACTGGTAGTAGCCAGCCACGAACGACACGAAAGTAGCAATATAAAATAATATACTAAAATAGACTTTAAAATAGTATTCGTGGAAGTAAAAAACACCTTTATATAACTAAAATAGCTAAAGCTAGTAATATACTCAAATAATAAACCTTAAAACAATTGTCGTGGAATTGCAACCACTTTTTATACAACTACAAATCTCATAAGAAAAATGTCTTTATTTGCGAAAATCAACAACAATCAATCGATTCAACACAGACAATTCTCGAGCATCACTAAACTACGGGGGAACAACTACAACAAATTTATCTCCTAAAAAAACGATAAGGGCGCATCAGTAAAGACATGGGGGAGATCTTTTAGTTGGACGGCTTGAACTCGACGACCTCTCAGTCGCGGAGCAGCATCTTGGTGATGAGCGACAGCGTCGGCTCGTACATGTTACTAAAAAATGAAAATTATACTCGAAAACTTGCTCAAAACGTACCCCTTCTCGCCGACGGCCTTGATGCCCTTCTCGAGTTGGTAGGGCCCGTTGATTTGGACGTAGTTTGTGCGTGGGTTGACGAAGCCTGAAAAGTAGCATTAGCACCTAGTTTATTCGTTCAGAAATGCTTTTTATCGTAAAAATGGGTATTTTAAATTGCGTTTTGCTAAAATTTCGCCATTTTTAAGTGAAAAAAAAAACAGTAAAAACTCCCACATACTATTTTTTGAGTAGAAAATCGTCCATTTTTGGTGAAAATCTATATTTTTTATGTGATCTAATGAAAATTTGTAGTTTTTGAGCTTAGGAATAGGAAAAAAGCTAACAATTAGCAACACTTCTTCTATTATGTTAGAAAATTGGGTTCTCTCCCATTATCGGGGGGATCAACTTATTTCCAAGGATCCAGTCATTCCAATATAAATAGAGGAAGCGCTTTTAACAATTCCTATACGCAAAAACATTACAAATTTTGCTTCAAAAACACAAGAAAATATAGATTTCGGCCAATATTTCAGCTTAGCAATTTTTTTCAAGTTTTTCTTATTGTTATTCGGTATGAAACATCGTTTCATTTTGTTAAAAAGCTATTAAACACTTACTGGGCGTTTCCAGACTCATACAACAAGCTGATCCCCCCGATAGTGCGAAAGAACCGAAAATTGGGCCTAATGAAAAAATGAAAATTGGGCGTCGCGCATCGTGGGAAACCATCCCAGTATTTTAATCTAAAAAAACGCACCGTCACACTCAATGTTGAAAGCCAGAGTGTTCAGCTGGCCGACGGCGAACCAGAATCCCTTGCCGTCAAAGAGCGCCAGCTGGGAGGTGAACGGGCGCGTGACGTCGGTGTACTGCGTGAAGCCGGCCGTGTGCGCTTGGGCGCAGAGGGTGGTGAACAGCGAGACGACGGCCTGCGCGGCCACGAGATCGACTGGGATCTCCTGAAAAAATGTGGGGAATGTTGTCGCAGAGAGTTCGAAACTTACGACTTCATTTTCGCGTCTCCACCCATCTTGCCAGTACTGTAGGCGTGGCAGAAGCGGGGCCAGCGATTTGACGGCGAGTCGGGTGTGGGGGTGTGTTTCGCCTAGAAAAGGAGTAGAGAAAACGGTAAGAAAAAGTTACCTGAATCCGCAAAGTAGCCGGGACATTGCCAAAGCGCTTCCGAGTCGGGCCAGAGGTTGAAGATCTGAAAAAAAGAAAGATGGACCGCACTACGAGATAGCGAGAGAGAGAGAGAGAGAGAGAGAGGGAGAGAGAGAGAGAGTGAGACAGAGAGAACGGGATTCATAGATGGAGCCCCACCTTTGGAGAAAATTTGACGTCTGGCTCCTCGCCGGCCGGGAAAACGGGCATCGTGGCTTGCGGGTCGTCCAGCCCAAAGAGCGGCTTCAACGGCTCACGGCAACGTACCTAAAAATGTTATGAAAACCCCCCAAAAATGACGAGATACCTGCGCCGATAACCGATCTCTGTGAACAAAGGCCAACTCGCCGAGATGACGTCTGAAAGGGAAAATCCATTAAAAAGCCAGAAAAATGCTATTTTTTAGGTTGAAAACACACCTATCATCTCCAATATATTTGCTAATCTCCCTCGGTTTCTTCCGTGTCACTTCTTTATCCCCAATCTCCTTGACGTCATAAAGAAAGTCGAATCTAAAAAATGACTTTATTGCTAAAAAATAGATCTATACCCGGCCTTGATCCAGAATGCCTCGCTTTGCACGTCGTAGGCTATCTAAAAAATCATTACGTTCAGGGTTTTATGAAATTCGGTTCTTTTCCATTATCGGTGGGGGCGAAAACTTTTGTCTAACTCTAGAAATGCTTTAGTGCCTTTAGTAAATATAACTATATTTAAGCTAAAACACTATAAAAAAACTTGGAAAACATTTTCAAAAAGTCGAAATTTTCGCCAAAATCGGTGATTTTTGTCGAAAATCGATATTCTTGGTATTTTTTACTAAAAAAATTGCAAAATTTTTACGTTTCGACGAGCAAAAAAAACTGTTTACAAGCACGTCCACTATCCATATTTGAAAAATACGACCTAAGAAAAAGTCGGTTTCCGCCGCGATAATGGGAAAAGAAGTCAGATTCCGCTCACCCGATAGTCCTGAAAACGGGGGTTGTTATGCGCGACGCTGAGTATCGCAGAATCAAGCGTGCTCGCCGCCACAGCGTCAGCCTAAAAAAAGAACTTAAACCACAGAAAATTGGCCCAACATTTTTTGCCAGATTCTCAGCGTTGTCGACGGGAAATCGAGTGTTGATCCCGTTCATCGAGTCGGCTAGCAGCTCCTGAAATCAACGTTGAAGGAAAAGAAGGAAAATGAACCTCAAAAAGTGCCGTTGGTGGATTTAGGCCCTCATAATACTCATCAACGTCCTTCCAGACGACGCGCGTCTTGGTGATGTGCTGGTAGAAGGGGAGGACGTCAAAGTATTCGGGCACCGACGGCACGCGCCAGGCTTTTCTTGGCGAGTGTAGGGTGGGGTGGTAGTCACTGGAAAATCGGGCTTGAGCGCAAAAGATGAACTATCAAACCCACCTAAAAATTACAAAAATAGGCTCTTTCGCACTACCAGGGGGGGGGGATTTTTTAGAATATAAATAGGGGAAGCGCTTCTAAACAGTTTTTTTGCTATCTTTAAACGTCAAAACGTTGCAAACAGTTATTTTAGAAAGGCAGAAATATAGATCCTTTTTGCGACCAAAACTAGCCGATTTTTGACCAAAATTTCGTTTTTGAAAAAATTTTCAAAGATTTTGTTAGCTTTCCAGTTACATTAAAGCCTCATTTTACGCACACCACGATGAAAATAATCTTATCAAGTTATCAGGCAATTCTAGATTAATACAAAAAAAATATTCCCCCTCGATAATGCGAAAGTTCCCAAAATCATTTATTACCGTCGCCACGTCTCCTCAAATTTGACCCAGGGCCTCTCGTACGGGCTGGCAAAGTCAATCTTCTCGGCGATTGTTGGGAGTGAATTGATGATGCGCGCCGTCTCGTGATAGTCCCATAGACGAGCGCCGGCCCCGGTTCGATCGCCCTCATTCTAAAACGTGATTTTACTAATCTTTTTGAAGCTGATAATTTCTTTCTCTTCTATTGAATCAACAGGTATGTCGCATTATCGTTTTTAATAGACTTTTTAGTAAAATTTAACTATATTTTAAGCGGTAAAACAATAAAAAACTTAGGAAGACATTTTTCGTTGGAATTTTGGCTGAAAAACCTATATTTTCTGATCATCAAAATTTGTCCAGCCTCTTATCAAAATACCAAATTTGCAAAAAGTCCTTCACCATTCATCGATTAAAGCCTCATATACTCACCAAAAACTCTTCATTTAGGATGTGCTGCACGCGTTTCCCGGGGTTGGCCTTGTTTCTGTAGTTTGGGCGCTGGATGTTCGTGGCCGGCTTCAACTTTTCAACATTGGTGGTCGTCGTTTCCGAATCGACAGACTAAATTAAAGGCTGCCAGAAATTACCTAACGAACCCACCGATTTTTCGCCGCTCAACCCGGCCACTTCTTGGGCGACCTTGCTGAGCCGGCGGATTGATAATCGCCCGCGCGTCGCTTGTAGCATCTAAAGATACAATGTTTATATAAATATAAGAAAAATACAATAAATATAATTTTATACAATAGAAATAAAGAAGACATAGCCGACGCGGTTTTACAAAAAGAATTCTCTAGGGTCGGCTACGCAACAGTACAAACGTCTGCGGGCATCTATCGCCTCCAAGCAAAGCATCTCGCAATATAATCCCCCGGACAAAACTTTAAAAAATAAAAATTTAAAATAAACCATGGTTTTGTGAAACTAAAATTTACTGTAAAAATTCGAAAATTTAACAGGCGCCTCTACTGGTTGATGCATGCGTTTTCGAACCTTCTTCTCGCCGCTGCTTTGGCTAGGGCTGACGTTCTTTTTCAATGAATTTTTCATCTACGAGCTCAACGTGCGAGCTAGTTGTGGCTGGATCGGGGATGATGATGAGGCAAGTGTTAGCAAGAGCTGGAGAATACAATATATGACTGATACCTCGACTTTGGAAACAAAAAGCTCCTTAGGTGTCCCAGCGTTTCTTCATGATCTCCGACACGCATCTCCTCGGAATTTACAAGGGGCATTGGTTTGACAAGTTGCGAAGGTAAGATTCTAATCTTTGTAGAATTTGAAGTGTTTCTAGAGAATGGCAAATGTGGCGGTCTTATCGGTCTGCCGTCAACTATTTCCGGCCCAAGACTGTGTTCTTTCTAGGTCAGCAAAAAAAGATTGGGGAGAACCTTCTGAAACACTTGAAATAACACGCAATTCAGGGGATTTGATGGACGAGGGCCAGTGGACAGACGATGCGCTTTTTGCGCAGTACGCCTCGCGCTTTGAGGAGCTTTTTGGGCCTCGCGACGAAGAGGAAATGAAAGTCTACGTTCTGCCCGGAAATCACGATCTGGGATTTCATTATGTGTAAGTTGGTCAAGAAAAAGAGATCAATAAAACGAAAATTCGAATGTTGTGTTTTTAGACTCGATCCGATAGATACTAAGATGTTAAAAAGCGTAGAAGAATTTTAAGATTAGAAGAGAAAAAAATAGAAAAATAGAGGATTTTAGCCTCGATCCCCAGCGAGTCACCTGGTTTGCCGATCGTTTTCGCACGAGGCCGGTGGAGACGTTGATATTGGGTGGGCAACCCTTCGTTCTCGTCACTTCAATGGCATTAGAAGGAGACGGATGCCGGTATGTTTAGATTAAAAATAGTAAACCTACAAGTAATCTATCCGAAACGAGAATTTCGTGTCCCAAAAACCTTTAGACTATGCGCAGAAGCGGAAATGGAGCTCGCGCGCCTCGGACGGCTGCTCAAATGCGCCAAAAATTCGAGTTGCCATGATCGAGAAGCCGCACAGTTTCGGCCATATCAACCGCCGATCCTGCTGCAGCATTTTCCACTGTTTAGGTCGGTTTTAAAATTAATTTTTAACGTTTAAGGTTTAAATCAAACTTTTAATGAGCGTTTTTCAAACTACGACCTGAGTTCAGGCTCAACGACTCGGTTTGCGCGCGTGACGACGACTTTGACTGGTCGGACCCGACGCGCGACGAGAAATTTAGACCCGGCTGGGATTGTCTCACCTCGGCGGCTACGGATAAGCTCGTGGAGGTTAGTTGAAAAGCCGAGATCAGGCGAAAACAAAAATTTTTAGTGGCTCGAGCCCCGAGCAGCTTTTGCCGGGCACACGCATCGGGGCTGTAAGAGGAGGTACGTATTCCTGGAACGCGGAAGTTATCTAATTTTCGTGCTTTAAAAAGGTAAACAAGTTTTACAAAAAAAAGTTTCAGATTTGAGACCCGTTTCGGCACGTTCAACGAGTGGACGGTCAATTCGTTTTCGTGGCGCAACGGGCCAAAGCCCTCATTTTTAATGGTTAGTTAAAAGTTTTGGTTGTTTTTACTTTAAATAAAAGTAGCCATGGTAAGGTTAATCCAATTTTAAACGAAAGACCTTAGTTTAAAATAGAAATTTTACCTTAAAACTAGCTATAAAGTATACTTTTAGTACTTTTTAACCTAAAAAATTTTAGGTAACAGTCAGCGCCGGCCAGGTCAATGTATCTACTTGTCATTTACCAAATGAAAACTTTGTCGTAGGCCTGTATATTATAAGTGTTGTTGCAGCTGTCGGGTATTATTTGCTGCTCATTGCGAAATTGTTACGTTGTCGACTTTCCAACAGATTTGTACGGCTTCCGGATACGGTTTCCGCTTCTGCCAAGCCGCACCGTCATTGATTTGTGATTACGGGTATTTACGATTTTATGTACGAATCTTGTAAGTTGTAATTTTTTTGCTTTTACAGCTAAATTACTGCATTTGAGCCTTCTCTATGCCGATAGCAATCTCAATAAAGGCCAGTTGCAGCGTTTTCTTTTCGATATTTTTTAAGCAGACTCAGCCGCTACAGTTTCAAGAATCTGTGACCTTGTAGGAGACGTCGGACAACTTTTGCAGCAAAGTTCAGGCGCAGTGTCCAACGCTATTTGAGCTTGTAGAAGACGCCGAGCAACTCTGTAGCGATATTCAAGCAATCATTCCATGCGTAACAACCACATTCAACATTCAAAAAAACGTTTATTCAGGGGGCGCACAAGGGAATCGGGCATCTTCTAGGGGTTGTACTCGATGGGGAGGTTCTTGCGGCGGACCATGCCGTCTCCCTGGAACCACTCGCGGCGGAACTGCTTGGCGGCACCGTCGGGGGTGTTCGTCCACTCGATCGTCACACGATCGTTGTTCGTGTCCTCAGCGCCGAACTGGAACGAGTCGCACGACACGGCCACCTGGAAAAGGAGCGGTAGATCGAGAAAGCATGAAGTTCGAGCAGTTCAAGCTGTTTTGAGAGGCGAAAATGATAAATTAGCAGCTTTCCATCAAAATCGAGCAGTTAAAGCAGTTCGAAAGAGCTACAACATGCTCAAGCAGTTCAAAGCACCCACCAAAACCTGCTCCTTGGGGTCGAGGACACCGCACGGCGGGTCGACGCCAAGACGCTTCATGTTGGTGGTCTTGAAGGCCCATCCGATGCGACGTCCTCCAGAGTTGATCACCTTGATGTGGTAGGTGTGCTTGTCATCGTACGGGGCGTTGAACACGATCTTCGTGCCGGGCTGCGTGGTGATGTCGCCGGGAGCAACGGATTGAGCCATCTTCTTGTCAGGAAGTTGAGATGATCTAGCCAAGAATTTGGCCTATTTTATACTCAGCAACGCATGTTAATAGCTTCATGGTGATGAGGGAGTTCCGGCTTTTAATTAGTTATAACCTGATTAGGTTTTTAGATCGTCGAAACGATAAGCTTGACTTTTCAACGCTGTTGCGTCAACTTCAAGCTGTTCAAGCTTTCCCCCCTTTCCTATACCCGGGATAGCCCACAAGGCCATCGTACCTAGGCCCTGCCGCTTGCGAAAGTGCAGGCAAATCTAGGAGGGTGCAGAGCGCAGGTCCGCTTCAGCCGGCAAAGAGCAACCACGATTTGCCAAAGAACCCCGGCAAGCACGTGACAAAACTGCCCTATGACTTGCACTTATGGCCAGACGGCTGGCCCCAAGGATTTGTCATCATAGGGCCCAGATGGCCAGTAGTTATGTCTGCTTTTTGACCTCTCTTTTAGGTGTAAGCGCTCGGATTCCAATTCTTTATCTTTATCGAGCTCAGCAAAAGATGGGGATTCCACGAGCAGATAATCGGGCAACAATCTCGGCCAATGGGAGTCCGACAACGTTGTAGAAACAGCCATTGAGTCGCTCGACCAGCACGGCCCCGCGATTTTGGATCCCGTAGGAGCCGGCTTTGTTCCTGAATTGTCTATTTTTGTTCAGATAGATGAATTAATCTTTTCACTTTACTTATTAAAATTTAAATCCGTTTTTTTCAGTTTTTTTTGTCAGTATCGAAATTAATTACTTACATAGGTTCCCCCGTCGCCACATAGCCCTCAATCAGCTGATCGCTGTAATTCGCCATGTGAACCTCCGTTTCGACAGAGAACGTCTAAATGTTTTCGTTTATTTAGTGACGTTGACGTCTGGGATATTTTTCCTGCATTAGTTTTCGATTTTTAATGATATAAAACTAAGAAAATTAGGGCTACTTTACCTCGGTACTGCCATCTCTATACGCAAGCGCAACCCCGCTGTAGACGAAATGGCCTCGTTTCCGGATACTAAAAGTTTTCTGGGTTTTACGATTTCGGGTTTTTACCTTTTCAATGTTTCAATAGCATTTTGACGATCTTCTGGCTTTCCGATAATTTTTCCATCTACCCAAATAACGGTATCGGCAGCGATAATCACGTCGAACGGCTCCTAAATATCAATTTTGTTGCTTGACCCTTTTACAATACTGATTTTGCTTTACGTACTACTTAATTTCTTTCTTTTACTCACATTTTTCTTCCTCTTCTCTGCGAGCACGACCTCAAGTTTTCCCTCCGCTGTCTTTTCCACAAATTCCCGGACCGGAAGTTCCTTTGAGAGATTTTCCTCGAAATCCGAGACGTGAACGATTGGCTCGATTCCCTGTTTTCTTTTGCTCTCAAATTTGACGTTTTCTACACTTACAATCTTTTGCAGAAGCGCCAGACGGTTGGGCGACTGGCTGGCGAGGACGACGATCGGCGACATCGAGTACAGCTGAGGTGAGGTGAGGGGAAATGATGAGTGCATTCGAATTGGGCCCGAGACATTATCGGGGTGAAAGAGTGTGTGTGATTTTGCGGAGGGAAGAGGGGTTTTGCCGTTTTTCTCAGGACCTCTGGTTCGGCCGCGCTTTTGGCGGAATGTCTGGCGCCTCTGCGTTAGGGATTGGAAAGCGTAAGGGATCCATTCAAGGGGTGGCAGAAAAGTCTAATAATGTGATAATAGCGGTTTTTGATAGTGTTATTAGTTGAATTAAACTATGTTGAATCGAAAAAAACACCTAAAAATTTAGAGAATGGTGAAACTTTTGTCATAGACCGGCCATTTTTGAGCCAAAAATTGATATTTTTTGTATTTTATTCGCAGAAATTTGTAAAGTTTGTGTGTAGGGTTAGTAAAAACAGTTTAGATATCTCTAGACCTCTATTCAGCTTAGATAACTGGTTTCTAAAGGTAAAACTTAGTCTTTTCCCCACCGATGATGTGAAAGACCCCATTTTTTACGCTTTAAAAGTGTCTTTATAATGTATTTTAGTTTTAGCTATAGGAAACTAGCAAACACGATCTCATTTTTTAAGAAATCACCGCCCCTCGCCTTTTATTTTCTAGCTTTCATAAAGTTAACGCACCGTTGTTGAATCACCAATTTCAGGCCCTATCGCGATGACGTCCTACCTAACGCAGTTGCCCCGAATACCGGACGTCTCTCTTGATCTGGCCTTCCGACGGTTTCTCGTCTTCAGCAAGCTCTACACGGAGAGCTGGGGAAACCCGGTGGTGCTCAGGGAGTGAGTTTTTCCCGACCCCGTTACTTCCATCCTCGTTTCCCACTTTAGAACGCTGTTTTCAGCCTGCGCGACTACATGCGCAACGTGATGTCGCAGCGGAAGGTGATCGACCTGCTCGACAACCATGGCCACAACCCGATGCATATTACACAGGTAAAAATTTGGAATTGGGAAGAAGTCAATTTTATTTTTTAGCAGCGAATAGCTGGCAACGCGCGGATCGCCGACGGCCATTTCATCAGCCCTCACTCGCTCGAGTTCCCGCACCACGTGAGTTTGTGCTTGGTTCGCTTTTGATAAAATGGTTTTTAGATGCCAGCCCCGGTGAACAAGGCCCATTGGCGAGGGATTTTCCCGAAAAACGAGAGAAAAGGGCTGATCGTTCATCTGGCTGGCACTGGGGACCACACGTATAAACGGTAAATTTTATAACTAACTTCGATTTTAATCAGTTTGGATTCCTTCAATAATCTTTTGTTTCCGGAAACGAAGAAACAAAAAAGCTCTATTATTCCTTTCTTTTTGTCCTATTTTTTGTCAATATTTCGTTTTTAGGCGAGAACTCGGCTTTGTGGATGACCTGCTGAAAGACGGAACGGCCGGCATCATGCTCGAAAACCCATTCTACGGCGCCCGAAAGCCCAGCGAGCAGTTTCGATCGAGCCTAAGGTATCGAAGTTGTAAAGACGAAAAAATGCTGATTTAGGAACGTTTCTGACTTGATGGTGATGGGCGCGGCGTTGATCGCGGAGACGCTCTACCTGCTGCGATGGGCCTACAAGGAGGGCTACTGGCCGATTGGGATCTCTGGGGTGAGGAGCTGATTTTTTTCATCAAAAAAGTTATGTAGGTATCGATGGGCGGTCACATGGCTTGTCTTGCCGGCTCGAACGCCACCTTCCCCATCACGATCGTGCCGTGCCTTTCCTGGACGACGGCTTCTCCGGTGTAAGGATTTAGGAGATTTTGGATAGCGTGGTCAAAAAGATCTAGAATGATTCACTTTAGTCGGATTACGCTTTAGTCGTTTTTTATGCAGATTTATCGAGCCTGAATCGGCAAAAAATGTACAAATCATCGTGAGTTTCTTTCGCGTTATGGCGCGGGAGAACAAAATTTGTTTCTATGATTTTACAAATGTATATTAACGTATTAGTAATTGTTTTAAATAGGTTTTTAGAAAGTTTAATGAACAGTGAAGAAAGAACAAAAAATTACTTCGAAAAACTTTTTGTTGAAATTTGGTCCAAAATCGGTTTTCGAGAAATATTTACCGATTTCGAGCCCAAAAAAACACCGTTTTTCAGCGGCGTAGAAGTACATTTTCGCTTCCAAAAACAATTTCCATTTTTCTCGTAACCCGTGACGCTAAATTTTCCACACGTTCCCAAACCCTTTCCAGATACACGGCCGGCGCGCTCAGCTACGCGATCCCGTTCGCCGGGGTGCTGGCCAAGCAGCTCGACGATCCCAGCTACCGGCAAAAGCTCCAGGACATCCCCAACTGCAACTGGCTCGAACAGGCGGTATCAAAATTCGTGTTTCAAGAAATTATCCAGTTCCAGCGCTCTCGACAATCTGAAAATGGCGACACCCTGGCGCGGAATGTAAGAAATAGGCTTTCGATTTGTCAACCTCCTTCTTTTTAGTTCATGTGGGTGCTGATGCACGACTTCACGCACCTTGGCGAGTACCCGGTGCCCATCGACACCTCGCTGGTCCACTCGGTCGTCGGCGAGGACGACGCTTACGTGCTGCGGGAGGGCGTCACGCATTTGAACGTAAGTTTGGGCGCTTTTGGGAGCTTTTAGTAACATTTTATTCTTTTTCTGGAGTTGTTTAACTTACCCCAAGGACCTCACGACGTTCCAAGCGCCTAAAAAAGTATCGAGTAGTTTTGTAGGTTCTACTTTAATCGTAAGAAGCTTTTCTAGGATACAGAACTCCGTTTTTTTTCTAGATTAAGAATGCAAAATATGGAACTTGGCGCGCAAAACTGCAAAAGTCTCGTCTTTAGGCTAACCGACCTCAGCGTTTTTTGCGCTCTTGGGGCCACGAAACGTAAATAGCTCCAGAAAAATCGGTAAAACTGAAGCAACACATCGCGGCCACAAAAATTCCCAGTCAAAACAGCTCCATTTTCTCGGCCAGGAAATCATATTCTTCTTTCCAGGACATCTGGCGCCACGCCGTCGTCGAGGTGATCCCGAAGCGCGGCCACGTCGCCTCCTACCTCTACTACCACGACGTCTTCCGGAAAGCCATCCGCGGCCGCATCAACGCCGCCATCCAGAAATACCCGAATCGCCCCCCGTCCGCCTGTACATGAGCTGCCAGTTGTTGATAGGTTAAATTACATTAGTCTCAACTAGATTTTACGTTGTTCATTTCCGGCCCCGCTACTTTGTCTTGTTTTCTAGACGTTTATGAAATTTTACGAAGGAGCTGTACTGACCCTGCGTTCCCGCCGTCCCCCTATCTGACAACAATTGTCACCCAAACTGTGATCTTGTACTCGTTTGACCAGGTCAAGGAAAATGAATGTGCCTTTCGAGATTGTATGACAAAGTCTTTAATAAAGAATTTTAATCGTATCCCTCGAGCGGTTTTTCTCAATAGTTTATTCAAGGCGAGACGAGGATAAAAATTAGAAGAACACTACTAACTCTATAGACTTCGGGGGTAACGTGGCGCTGATGCGTGGACCGTTTCGACGTGTTTGCCCAGATGAACACAGAAACACATTTATCACTAGACGAAAATCAAGCCTAGACGGTTATCCCGCAATAAGAGGAACAAATAAGAAACACGGGTCGAGGCATGAAGTTAAAACAAGGAATCGGGCTCTATTGCGAAGTCTCAAAAACGAGCTACGTCTCTAATAAAATCGTTCTTCGGGTGACTGGGAGGACAAATACAAACAGATGACTTGTGGAGGATGGTCTTGGTGGGGGGAGGTGAGGGGAATTAAAGAGGCGTCTAAAGGCGAGCAGCTGGGTACCGGGTTGATGCAAGGAGAAGCGGATGTTGTTGTAGAGCCTCCCGATTGCTGATGCTAACTGAAAAATAAATAAATAAGGAATAGTAATAAAAATAAATTAATGGACGAAATGGAATTTAGACGTATTGAGAAAGAGCACCAACTTTCAGATCTTCGGCTAATACGATAAAAACAAAACACAACTTGCTTACCCATAGTAGCCCCTCTACTCCTTCTTCGTCGGCTTTTGACGTCCCTTCATGGAGCGGAAGATGAACTTCTCATTCTCGATCATCGACCAGGCGTTGCGCTTGCCGTACACCAGAATCGCGCCGAACAGCGGCAACAAGAGCAGCAGCTAAAAACATATACACATGGTTTTATCAATAGAACCCAACAACCAGTGAAAGAAATTTACCTCAAGCGCCCAGCGTTTACCAGTGTCGTTGTACGAGCGAATCGAGCACCAGGTCAAGAAGTTGGTCACGTCCTTGGCTTGTTGAGCTTGCGTAGCGGGAGTTCCATCCTGAAAAAAAAGCGATGAAAATACGCACTGAATGAGAGAAAAATGGGTACGGCGAGACGGAACCAGAAAAAGGATTTGGAAGAGGCAAATTACGACGCGAATTTACCTTGTACTCGATGCCCTCGTCGAAGAGCTGCTGAGGCATAGAAATGAGACCGCCCGGGAAGTACGGGTTGTAGGCCTTGCCCTCGTCGAGCTTGATGCCGGCCGGCGGGTCGAAGTACCCGTTGAGCAAACAGTAGATGTAGTCGTCTCCGCGGTGATGGTGGGTGGTGCGGGCGCTGATCATCAAGCTGAGCTCTGGGGGCAGAGCGCCTAAAAGAGTAATGATTGTTGACGAAAAATTGAGAAGAACGAAGAACCAGCATAGGCTTAAATCACGCTGTTCACGCTAGAAAGAAACATCACAATTTCCTAAACTAAAAAACGCGGCTTGTGGAGTATTTGAAACAAGAACGTTTATATTTTAGAGCGAAAACAAGCAGTATTCAATAAAATGCGGTTCGCGGCAGAATCTAAACATCAAATTACCGTTGTTCGCAGCAGCAGCAGCCTTGTTGTTGTTCTGCGGCAAGCCCCACTCGCCCAGCCATCGGCCTCCCGGGAACTGGTATGGCGGCGGCACAGCGTCGTTCAGTTTGGCTAGAAAAAAACATATAAAAGCAATATTTTTAAAACTTACCTTCACGACGGATCGGCTGGCCCTTGTCGTCAATGTCATCGACAAGGAACTCGGAGGCTTCCACCTAAAAGCACATAAAAACAGAGATTCCAAAAACTAAAACCTTGGCTTCCTCCTCAGTCATGAAGGGGAAACGGTAGTCGCAGAAGTGCCGGAAGTTGACAAAGTACCGCAAATGGTGGCAAGCCTGGCAGACCTGCTTGTAGACCTCCCAACCACGGCGGACGCTAAAAATTGGGTTTAAAAAGAGAACGATGGCACTAAAAGTCAGAAAGTTGTTTCGGCCACACAGGTTTTCCTCTTTGGTTTTTGCTTTTCATGGTTCAGTTTTTTTTGCGAAAATCCGAGCTGAAATAGAAGCAACACCATGCTATTGCTGCAAAATTACGACGAAACCGTCGCCATATCCGCATTCCGCACAAAAAACTGACCCATGATAAGCCAAAATACCGAAAATCAAGGTCCCCGAACTTTCAAGCTACTAAAAACATAAAGAAAAAGAGCTTTACGACCATTTCTCAGTCCTGAGACGAAATAGGAAGCAAACTCACGATCCAATATCGAGGGCGCCAAAGGTACTCCTGTGCGTCCAGGGCATGCCGGGCGGGTGGATGCCGTTGTCCATGGCGTGCACGGACGTCTCCATGGCGTAGATCATCCCCGTGGCGCCAGTGGCCGCCGCCAGGCCGGCGCCGAGCGCGAACTGCCGCTGAAAAATGAGCGTGAGCAACGCGTTTGCACGAGAGAAGGAAATCAGAACCCGTTCGGGATGCCCAAAAAGCTTACCCGTGATAGATTGATCGCGCGATGCATCTCCCGGCCGGCAGATTACCTGAAACTAAACATTATCGAGAGGTGGAGAAAATGGCGAGAAGAAGGGTTGAAAACAACAGCAAGAAACCACATTATGCGCAGGCGAGTAGGAAAAATAAAGAGATAGAAAAGTGTTGAGAATCAACGCTAAAAGGCAGGAAACTATAGACATGAAAACTTTAAAGTTTTAAACCCGCGCAACATTATTTTCTTCGAGCTCAAAAAGGCGCACGAATTTTCGCCCCCGCTGCTCGCTGGGCTACACCCAGCTCCCATGACCGAATGCCTGTTGGTTATGGGACGGGGCAGCCAGTACGGTGCCCCGTTCAAAGCCTAACCAGCGATAAACAAAACAAGGCGGCGAGAAAAACTAAGAAAACAGTGGAGTTTGAGGACCCGCTGATGGTAGATGAATAACTCCTGTGTAAAGTATTGAATTCTAATCGAAAACGTGGAGACGAATAAAATGACATGAAAAAGGCTATATAAAGAGCTCTATAAAAAGCGTGAAACCGAATCAATTTGTGCAAACGGGTGCAAAAAGCGCCGATGGGTGCAAAGGGAGGGGGCGCGCCCGTGGGCGCATGGAATGGTGAACACCTTTCAATTCTGGGAAAAACGCCGAATTTCTTAGATTATGCACGTATTTATGTTTAAAATACATAAATTAGCGAAACGTTACTAGATTCGCCGGATTATGATATGAAGCGCCATGGCTTATGTAACTTTGCTACGCAGCCAATGCCTGCAAAACTTAGAAATACTTTAGATCTATATTTATAGATTCTCGAGAATTCCAAGAGCCGACCTTTCAGACGAGCATGGGCATCATTGCCAGCGCAACGTTGCCGGTATCTTTGAGCGAAGCATGAAAGTAAGTCGGCAAGAAACTGCAGAGTAAAACTTATTTTTGGGAAGCGGGAACAAAGTAAGTGCAGCTTACGAAGCTTATAAAGAAAATTAGGTAATTTTAACACTTTTAGGGGCCGTTCATCGCGCAGTGGAGCGTATATGTAAGTCCCAAATGAAGCTAAAGCCACGAAAACAATAAAACTTATGTTCGGATGCGCAGTACGACCATTTTCGCAGGGAACAAGAAGATCTACATTACGTATAGGGTACAGCATCGTTAAAACCGATGCAATGCTCTTTTTTAGATAATAAAAGCTTTAGAACAACCCGTCCTGCGCGGTTACAAGGCGGTTGGGGGGCGCCCCCGGGCGCTTTACGAACCGAGTCTTGGTAGACTACAAGCTAGAAATATCCTTATTTAGATTCAGATTGAGCGGGAATTCAGATTCTTCAAATCTGATATCGGAATCTGAGTAAGACGTGAAAATTCAAATCCGATTATGCTTGTTCAAGTCAGTGTTCAAAGCGCAGTACAAGCGGCGCCACACGACAGTTCCACTGGATGCGCCGGTTGCCCTGCTTCAGGTCCCTGTCTGCAAATCGATTTTCTTAACCGGCAGGCTCCACAAAGTGGTTAATTGCTTTTAATTTCATTTTAATTTCTAATTTCTTTTAAATAATTTTTAATTCTGCAAACTTTACTCTCATTTTTCCTCCACATTTTTTCTTGTTTGCTTCTGTCTACTCTCTTCATCTAGCTGGTTTTGAGTTTCTATAGGTTTCCCTCCTCTAGAAAATTTTAATGCGCCTGCTAATTTCTTTTTTTTCAGGTATACGCTTCTTCCAGTGTGGACTAGCGATAAAGCGAATCGTTGGCACGCAGTTCAAGCACCAGGCCACCAAACGATACCAAGGCAAGAAAACTTACGCTCTATTCTAAATACTTTTTTTCAGGCTACATTATTCGGCTCAGTGTGGGCAAGCCCTGAGAAGCGCATCCTTCACACGCAGTCCACGGAACGCCAAACGATTGCAAGGCAAGAAAACTTACGCTCTATTCTAAATTTCCAATTTTTACAAGTTTCGGTATTTGCCTAACTTTATTTTTCTAAAAGGGTTCCTGTATGTTCGGTGCTATTTTTGAGCCATATTTTTTGATTTTTAGCTTAGCTTCTTTTGTTGGCGTTTTATGATAGTTTAGTTGCTTCGCGCAGTATCAAGGAAGGGAGATAACTTTCTTTCAAAGGGTATTCTGGCCATTACGTGATCCTTAGATGTTTTTTTAGTATCAAGGAAGGGAGATAACTTTCCTTCAAAAAGTATTCTAGCCATTACGTGATTCTTAGATGTTTTTTTAGTATCAGGGAAGGGAGATAACTTTCCTTCAAAGGGTATTCTAGCCATTACGTGATTCTTAGATGTTTTTTAGTATCAAAGAAGGGAGATAACTTTCCTTCAAAGGGTATTCTAGCCATTACGTGATTCTTAGATGTTTTTTTAGTATCATAGAAGGGAGATAACGTTCCTTCAAAGGGTATTCTAGCCATTACGTGATTCTTAGATGTTTTTTTAGTATCAGGGAAGGGAGATAACTTTCCTTCAAAGGGTATTCTAGCCATTACGGGATTCTTAGATGTTTTTTTAGTATCATAGAAGGGAGATAACTTTCTTTCAAAGGGTATTCTGGCCATTACGTGATTCTTAGATGTTTTTTAGTATCAAGAAGGGATTAACTTTGTTTTAAAGGGTATTCTAGCCATTACGCGATTCTTAGATGTTTTTTAGTATCAAAGAAGGGAGATAACGTTCCTTCAAAGGGTATTCTAGCCATTACGTGATTCGTAGATGTTTTTTTGAGTATCAAAGTAGGGAGATAACTTTCTTTTCCAGGGTATTCTAGCCATTACGTGATTCTTAGATGTTTTTTAGTATTAAGAATGGATTAACTTTGTTTTAGAGGGTATTCTAATGGGAAGCCCCCTGTAGTGCCTTGCCCCCCAGGAGGGCCAGTCGATAGCAGCCGCGACGCGGCTGATATCGACTGGTTTTACAAATAAAAATCATTGTAATTTATTAATGAATGCTGTTTGCAGATGCATCGAGTTACGGCGGATAATCTCGAACGGTCGATCTTTACGTCGTCACGCCCGGAAGATAAGCTGCATTTTTGCGTTGTCGCCTTCAGCAAGACCTTCGCAGCAACATACAATCATGGGCCACACGAAAACCTCGTGCCGGGCCGCATCGTCAACTTGTTCAACGTCAGAGACCCGTCACTCCAAATAGAGGTTGTTCTTTTCCGATTATAAAACATTTTTTTGTTTTTCAGACCCGTGTTCGTGGATCTTCAAATATTTATGACGTGACCGTTTTGGAGACGGTTACTGACGAATTTCCGCATTACCCTCGATCATCCGGGACCATGTTTGGAGGGCAATCGTATCGGCAGTTGGGTGTCACTTCAGATCGAACGCTGACTTGGAAAGATGGCGTGATCTCCGAGCGGCGCGGTATGTCTAATTTCACTGATATCAATTGTTTTATTTAGACATGTACGCTATCGGGAGCGGCCACGGGAAGTCGGGAGATTCTGGTTCCGGAGTCTACTCGACCGACGGCTTATTTTTGGGTCTAGCGATAGGCAAAAAGAATTTTGCTTTTGCGCAAATTCACAACATGCTGGTCGAAGAAATTGCCGACCATCACCCGGACACGCAAATGATCTCGGCCGAGCTGATCAAGGTGGTCGGCAACATCGTTCCTGATGCAAAACAAGTAAGTTAATTTTTTTGGAGACTTAGTTCAATTGTTCTGTTTCAGTACGGCCCATCCTAAGCGACGAACTCGCCCGCAAGACTGTACTCCACCTCGCCAGACGCCACCCTTTCCCAGATTTTTGTGCTAGGAGATGAAGTGTGAAAAATTCTTTTCGCGCCCCCTTTTCGTGCAAAATGTATTTTCATATGCCTCTAAAAGTTTATCGCCCTTTTCACGGTCTTTGTGTTCGCTTTCGGGTTTTGTCTCTACTTCATTTATTTTCCACAGTCGCCCCATCCTTACTTATTTCCGTGCCGCGAGTCGGTTCAGGCTGTTGCCCCTCCCCTCCCCCATATTCTTGTTGCGGAAGCGCGAAAGAAAGTCTCCACATTCCCGCCTTGTCGTCCTGTTGTTTATTTTAGGCTGGGCCGTTTTGTAATAAAGTTTTATCGCTTCTTACGTCCAATTCAATTCAGGTGTCAAACGACTCTCTCGCAAGGTATCCCCTTGGATTGAGCCAACACTCAAGAACTCACGCACGTACAGCTACAACAATTCGCATGCGATTTTATTTTCCCTTTTTGTACATTCAAACATATTAATTGGTCATTCTTCTTGGTTTTCCTGACGTCATTTCAGGCGTAGAAGGTTGTTTGTAGGGCTTTAAGAAGATCCCACGTCTTCGCCTCGTGTTAGTTTGGATTTGGAGACATCGACTTGGAAGACGCTGCTTGTATCCCGTGGAATTCGCATTCTGTTTGGCACCTTGATGCCTAACTCGCAAATAAACTCTCTTGTTCACTCAACTTTGTTCAGGAACTCAAGGGATCAAACGGTTCGATCGCAAAGCGTCTTCGGTGGATAGTAAGCAACCCTTTGACAAGAACTCACGCACAACCACCATCTACAACAACATCTATGGACTCAATCATGGTTGATTTTTGTGCCTTTAAAATGCTTCATTTGTGACTCTAGGGCTAAAGGAGTCTTTAAAAAAAGGATTTATGGTTTTCTCGGAAAGGGATGAATTCCCGGGGCAATAAAAAGCGCAAAATTTCTTTAGCACTGAAAAATGCCCGAAAATGAGGAACAGAAAAAAGATGCTGGCTATCATGCTGCTGGATATAGTTAGAATTTTCCGTTGATTGGATAGAACGGCCAAACTGAGCGGAACGACGTTTTTAGGTGCTCTAGTTGAAATATAGTCTCCGTAGCTTCGTAGCTATAGTGGTTCTCGATTTATAACCCCCCCTCCCTACGGGCCTGCTCACGAGCCGTTCGGCTCCGAGTCGTTCCAAACTTTTTCATGAACCTGCCCTATGCACGCGAACTCCCCAAATTCCCTTGCCCTTTTTCGGATTTCACCCCCACCCCCGGGAATCAATTCCCTTTATCAGTTCAGATTCTGAGAGATTCTGAACTTCAGAACGATTCATTCAGGCCCCCGTCTCGGGTTTACACCTCCGCCCCCTGGGGTCGCATTATCGGGCAGAAGATCAGCGCGGCTTTCGAAATCTGGAGGCACCAGAATGTCCGCGAATTTTCGGCGACTTTCGAAGATGCGAAAGTGCGTGGGTTACACACCCGCATCACCTTTGCCTCCCGGAATTTGTGTGGCGAAACCACAAAAGCAATTTGTTTGGTTCCTGGGTGTTTTTTGGGGCGGGGAAGCCTTTCATTTTCCCCGGGGAGCTGCCCGCGTGACCACCTGGGAAGATGTTGTGCGCTTCAAAACGAGACGAACGCACAATGGCGGGCAGCTGTTGGTCAGTTGAGTTAGACAAAGAAAACTTCTGCAACCACACACCTCACGCAAGCGGGTTATCTTATCTGCCAGGTTCCTGTCGTGCAATGTTGCTAGGTGCATGCCGAAAAAAGCGAAACGTGATCCCATCTATTTATCGAAACACTAACCAAATAATTCGATTCTGCGTACAAGGGTCGGATATATATGGCGATACAAATACATGGGACTAAATTTTTTTTGACGAGACACAAATACATGGCTGTAAAGCAATTGAGGCGAAAGCCAGCGGATGTTGATTATCGGTCATGGTCACGAGACGAAATTGCGGGGGGTTTAGTGGAAGTATACTTTAGAAGAGAAGAAGAATAATAGGGGGATATTTAGATCTCGTAGACCATGGCAAAGTGAGCCGAGGCGTCAATCGGGGTGGGAATGTTGTCGGGGGAGAGAGCACGGAATCCGATGTAACGGAGAGTTTTCGCGAAGGTGTTCGACAAGTCGACGTCTAAATCTTGGTTTTTTGGTTTAATTTTGTAGCTTAGGATATTGTTGTATGTTTATCTAATGAAAAAGTCTGCTCTAATATGGGCTTTGCTGAGATTGTCTGACGAAAAAGCTAGTATAGTCGATAAAACGATCTCTAAATTTATAATTTTTTAAATTATTTTGTTGTTTAGGCTATTATTTTCTTTATCGGATGTCGATGTCGTCATCTGGTTAAGATTTTCTAATAAAAACGGGTAGTCAAAACCCAATAATTCGGCTCTTAAATCTGGCTTTTTCAGGTTAGTCTAGTGGTTTTGATAGGGTTTTTGATGTTTTTCTGATGTCGTCATCAGGCCTTATCTACCATTCTGGCTGCTATTTCCTAATCAAGCCCGATTTTTGCACCTGTTGCACTTCACTGACGAAATGCCGTGGCGTCAAATTTCAAAACCAACCTTTACGATCGAAGAGCGCGATGACCTGCTCCATTTGCAGATCCTCGCAGTACTCGAGCATAGAGACGAAATACTCCTTCGACACCATACGCGGGTCCTGGTCGCTGGGGACCAAGATTGCCAACGTGCTTTCATCCAGCGGGGCCCATTTCCAGTCCGGTGACACCGCAGCCACTTTTCTGGAAAGATTTTGGGTTGTTTTTCAGTTTTGTAGGGCTGTTATTTGTGTTGCTACTTCATATTCTTGTAACTCACTGAGCTAGCTCGGCCTCATTTCCTTTCAGTACGCGTGTAGCGATGTCAGGAGCACCACTTTACGCCTGTGGCGCACGTAGTGGAGTTCTGGCTGCAAGGGTTTGATATAATGAAAAAGAGCGGGTTTTCCTCACCTGACCAGATTACTCATGTGTTTACTACTATTACTTAAAATACTAGTCGACATCTTGGCCAAGGAGGAAGGGAGGGAGTGAGCTGAAACAGTGTAATTTTGGTTTTGTAGCGATATTATAGCGCTGAGTAAGGTTATAGAGAACTGTTTTTCGAACCAGGACGAGCAAACGAAGCGATGGTGGATCAAAATAGAGAATTGGATGGCAGAATGGAGAAAGGTAAGTTTTGTTTTGATGCCGGATTCAGGCTTTATACTTTAGGTCCTTGCTGTTGCTAAAGCGGATGAGCGAAAGCGATGTCGAAACGGAATCAAAGAGATTGGCGCGAAGATGATGAGCAGGTTGAGGAGGCTCAACAACTATCGCTAATCGAAGGGACAACAATCAACCCCCAGGATCTCATATCTTGGCTCAGGATACGAAATCGAGATGAGGTGATCGAGCCACGGTTCCGGGGGCGCGATCGACTGACATTGACTGGGCGCCGCGGCCAGCTGGCTTTTATAGAAATGGAGGGTCTGCTCTCTCTGCGCCCTCTTCGCCCCGTGATCCCGCCCCATTCCTAGACACCAAAACCACGAAAGGGACCGTAGTGCTGGCGTTTTGCCAGCCCACTGCAGCCTTCGACCATTGATCGCCGTCAGCTGAAGCTTTTACACACCGAGAAGCCGGCTGGTTGGACGGCGGGCGCCCTTGGGTAAACCTGAGGAAGAGAAGTTGAGGATCTGTTGGGAATTGGGGTTCTTGCTTTAGTAGGTTTTGGCTAGCCTTTCGGCTTCCAATTGTCAAAACTAGGTGGGGTTCATGTAATAAGGTTCTGTAATTAGTAAACTTTCGCTACTTTTCTTACTCATGTCAAAGGAATTACTGACTTGTCCTTTTCTTCATCTGGCACCTGATCACCGTTTTCTTCTTCCGGCATTTTACATTTTACGAGGATATATGCTTTCATTAATCTAATTGAGACAGACTGAGGTATCAAACTCGAGCTTGTGAGCACTTTTTCTGATAATTTGATTTCTCTTTAGCTTGCTTATTGCAACCAGAATTGCTTACTTTTCGTAATATTCTGTTTGCGGTTTTTTTAACATCTGGATCGGCTTCTATCCGTGAAAATTACGCAGCTTTCCTCGTAGCAAATCTAGCTTGTGACATTCGGCACTTTTTCTTTTGGTTTTGAGTGCTTCAATCTGCCTTTCTTATTTGCCATCATTTTCTACTTCTGTTTTGGCTTCTATTTTACCCCGTTTTTAGTTGAGGACGATTTCAAAATTTTGAGAAAGAGAAGCAGAGCTAGAGAAGAATTTTACTTTTTGGAAACGGACGGCTTCTATCAGTGAAAAAATAACCTGATCTATGTGACAAACTCAAGCTAATTAGCCTTTTTTTTGTTTTACCTGCACGTCTTTCGATTATTATTGGAAACCAGAATTGCTTATTTGTCACCATTTCCTTCTCGTTTCTCTGCAAATTTTATCCCGGCTTTCACTCACCATCTCTTTTCAGGAGCCCTGCATTTCCCACTGGTGAATGAACCAGGAGCTGTTCGGGCGACTCTCTCAATGGGTATGAATGTGTATCAAGATGCCACCCCTCCATCGCCCTCCGATGTTTACGGCATTATCAACGAGTGTCTTCAACACCTACACTTCACGGACGCGCTCACGCTCGCCGAGATATGCTATGAAAAGAGTGGGAAATTCGAATTTTACGTGTATTCATGATTTTAGCAAACTCTGACGAGAGCCTGCTGTACATCTGCGAATGTCTGCAACGGCTGAACCGGACCGACGAGCTCTACAATTTGCTGAATACAAACGCGTTGGTGAACCCCCGGCTACGCTACATCTTCGCCAAGACATGCTGCGAGCTCGGAAAGTGAGTTTTTACTAAAAATGGAAAATATAAACGTAACTGGGGTTTTGCAGTAATTCCAGGGGAGCTGAATTTTTTCCTGGTGTCCTAGTTTGGCTAGTAAACTCAAAGCAAGTATTTTTG